CTTTGCTGCTAAAATAATACAATGAATATGAGACATGAAATAAAGAAAATTTTAATGGCAGAATTCTTTAAAGTAGTGATAATAAATATGCACATCACATCTAATATTTTTTGTTTACCAGACTTTTTTAACTTTTCCTTCACCTGTATTCTCAATAAGATACAAATTTATTTTTCCATATTACAGATAACATATGTACTAAGACAATATTCTCAGTATTTGATCCCTACCTAAGTGTTCAGTGTTTTTGGTGTCCCAGGATATATTTAGTAAATTTACAAATCCTAGCAATTCCCATAATTGATCATTGTGATTAAGGAGCATTTTTTTGTATAGGTGGCAAGGATCCAAGATGGCAGGTGAAGGAACATGTAAGAAGTAAAAGAATTAAGGCAGCACTGATGACAATATGGCCTTCATTTGGGACAGGGTATATCCAAACATATAGGACTTGGTAGGCCATGCAAGTTAGCATTTATATTGTACTTTATTCACATTATGCTTTTGTACAAATGAATGGTGTTTTTGCTCTACACAGCATTAGCAACCAGAAATTAGACTATTAGAGATTAGAATTATTAATGGAAAATAAAGAAAAAAGAGAATTAAAAATATGAGTGAGAAAATTGGGTTTGTATAGAGAATATAAGCAAAATAAATAGAGACAATAAGATGAGTTGGTTTTCCATGAGAGATTCACAGAGACACTTAGCTGCTTACCCAATTTCTTAGGTTTAACAGTCCAGACATATGTTTTCTTCTCTCCAGCGTGGATAATCTCACTGCCATTGTTTTTCAGGGTGTTGAGATTTGTTTCATAATTCTGAGATGCCTCCAACTGAACAGAAATCTAAAAAAATAAAATAAATCATGGTAATGAGGCCATCACTGGAATGCACATAATTATGAAATGCCATTCTCAAAACAGTATTTAAATCATTGCTGTGAATTAACACAGATTTTTTTGTTTGTGGAATACGGAAACAAGTCTCATCTCTCGACGGTATCATTTTACATTTATTTTGAGATACAGGGAATATGGCAATATTCAAGGAAAATATTAAAGAATCTTTTAGCTTTGTTAGATTTTTGCTTCAAATCAAAGGGAACTACTTACCTCTACACAAGTATCCAGGTAGCTGAAGACACTGATAATCAAATCAAATTGTTCATTTCGAATAACTGAAAAGGGTGAGGCAATTTCAACAAAGAAAGATTGGGAGACTTCCAGAGTGACTGTTGGTGAGACGCCAAATCCAGCATCGCCATTCACACAGAAGCCATTTGCCTTCCATTGGGTTATAGTATCAGGAATCAGGAATGAAAGATTTGCTAAACCTGAGGAACTGCAAAGAGAGGTTATTGGTAAAACATATGCTTTGTTTAAACTAAAAATCTAAATTTAGTCTGGAGCAAGCCAGAAAAAAAAAAGTATTAATTGAAGGTTAAAAAATGAGTCAGAGTGTATGGTCAGGACATTAGATAAAAATCTTGAGAGTGGATTTCTATAAAATTTAACCTTAGAAAGGTCACATTTCTTTAAACACCACATTATCTTTTTTTAAAAAAACTGAGGCAGCTTACATCTATCTGTATGAAATTGATAAAAGAGAAACTCTTGGGGAAGGGAAAACAATTCTAGAGAAAAAAAATCAAATGTGGAGTCAATACATACAAATAAATGGTATTATATGTTTTACAAATGTGGTACTGTTTTATATACCCAGGATTAAAATTCAAGAAATTAAAAGGAAAAGAAAATAGAAATGAAGACACACAGGAGAGAAAATTGTTAAAAACTCACTCGACACTGACGAGGTCCCATATCCATGTCTCTGGGAAGTTGGTTCTTACTGTTTCTATTATAGCCTGTTCTACATTGTCACTGATCTCCATGGCTTCACCAGCTAAGAGAAAAGAGAAATGCATTGTATAGAGAGAATAAAAATATGTGCTTCAGTGATGCACACCTGTCAGAGTTAACTACACATTCTTAGTGTGCTTTAATGTGAAGCAACATAGAAATTTGCTCCTGGGGCTCGTTGCCAAAAATTGGAAATTTCAACCTAAGCATCAGCATTTTGATGCTTATATCTCTCCCACTTTTAAAGGCAACAATAAACAAACAAAAATAACACATACCTGCATTGTTCCCCCACAGGCAAATTTAGAGAAAGCAATGTCTATCCACTGAATCGAGTTTCTCATCTTATATGCTGGTGCCTGCCAATTCCACCACCTAACATTATTTTTGTTAATGTTGCTAATGACATTAATATGGCTGATTCTCAAGAACCCTTTCCTTTGCTTGTCCTCTAGGCTGCATTTAACACTCTTAATCACCGTGACCTTTTCAAAATAGTCACTAGTGTTAACTTCATGACACCATGCCCTTCCAGTTTTCTTATTTTTACAACTCTCGTCTCCTATCTAAACCCTCATCCTTGACTCGTTCCTAAGAGCTCTGTTTTAAATCTTCTTCTTCCTATGCGCTGTCTCCATGTGGACATCCTCACATGTGGCTTCCATTGTAACAATAATACGGAAGCCTCCTCAACCTGTGTCCTCCACCCAGACCTCTCTCCTGAGCCCCAGACTTGTGCATCCAACACCGTTGAGCACATTTCTTGTGGATTCTTGACAGGCATTTCAATTGTAACTGCTCCCAAAACTAAACTCATTACATCCTCCCCTGCCTCTCTGCAGTATTTCCCATCTCCAGGCGGGGTACCAAAATTCACCCACTTACCCGAGTCAGAAACTTAAGAATTGTCTTCGACCCCTCCCTATCCTGCATCTCCCGTAACTCACCAACTTTCTAACAAATGTCTATTATTAAGTTGAAAACAGCTCACAAATCTATCCCTGTTTCCTCTGTTTCCACTGCCTTTTTATAGTAGTCCAAGCCACCACTGTCTCTCACCTGAATTTCTAACGTGTGTACCATTTCATATAGTCTTAAACAGCCCAAATCTCAAACCATTTTTTCACAGAGCAGCCAGAGATTTTTTTTTAAAAAACATATATTAGAGTGTCTGCCTAAAGCTTGTCAATAGTATATTACTGCATTGAGATGCGTTTCCAACTCTTTCAATGCCCTACAAAGTTTTCATGATCTGTCTGTCTACCCTCTTGCTTTAGCTGGCCCTCGCCTTGAGCCACAACTTCTGCCATGCTGAAGTGCTCCTAGTTCCTTACGTTGTCTTTCACAGAGCCTCCCTCTCTGCTTGGAACGGCCTTCTCATCATTCTCACTTTTTGTGATGTGTCATCATTCATCTTTCAGGTCTCGGTGTAAATGCTGCTT